GATTTCCAGAGAACGCCAGGGCTGTTGGGTATTTGGGGAAATAAGAAACACCAGAGAAGGTAGCAGTGCAGAACCATTTTTATAGGGTTGCCAAGAAAACTGTTTGGATCTGAGCATGAAGTCACCAGCTCAGCTCGAAGCAATCCTAAGGAAAGGAGGTAGAGCTCAGTGTGACATACCACTCTCTATCAATGAATACAAGTGTTGGGCATCTACGCTATGATTTCTCATGAACGGAGCCAAAACTTTGCAGAGAATACATTATAGCAACTTAAAATGTGGCTTTAATTTGATAATGACCTGAGAAACATTCAGCAACGTGCAAAGGGGAAAACTCAACATTCTTTTAAGAACAACAGAGAAAGGATGCTATTTTTTTTAAAAAAAGGCCAATCTCACTTCCTCTACTCCCCCCTTACACCCTCCCCCCCCCCAATCATCTGTAGTTGTAGAATATAGTCGTGTTGTGGTAGAATAGCTTGCCTTGATGATGCAGGTGCTAAATGGGTAAGGTTTTTTACAATTTTTGTTTCTTTCATAAAATGGAGGCAACTTTGTTCTTAATAACAAAACAAGCCTCTATGCGGCAGGAAACAGTTCCTACAGCTGCAGATCAACCAGATAAAGAAGCTAGAAATGAGTCAAGGCATGGGGGCGGGGAGGGGAGGGGGGGAAGAAGAGGCTCCCCCCCCCCAGTGTTACAGTTATAAACAGCAACAATAAAATTAGCAGAAACCCCCAACATTTGCCCTGGTTTGGGATGCAACAGTTGCTGGGGGAAGCTGACAAAAGATTAAACAAACACAAGTTCCATTTGTGTTTTAAACATATATTTTAAATATATAGTGAAATAAAGTGGTCGATTGGATCCAAATACTCTTTGATGAAATAGATTAGGTAGACCTATCTCAGTTGCAGTTCAGGTTCAGTTTTGGCACTGAAAGAACCTCACTTGCTGTTGTAGGTTCTTTGGCAGGAAAGAGACAAGATGAGTAGAGTTCTCATTTTTAGGTGTTATACATCAGCCATGTTTGCCATTTATTGTTTACTTGGTATGTTTTTGTGTGTGTGTGTGCATATTGTACATGTGTATCTCTCTATGTGTGGTATATGTGTTACATACACACATACACACAGAGAGATTTGTCTTTCTTCTCTATGCCACTGAGTCACATTGTCTGAGCTGAGCAACCATAAAAATGCTTTAAATAGATGAACTTTATTGATTTTCCTGGACCTCTCAGCAATTTTCAGTACCATTGGCCTGGCATCTTTTTGTCCAGACAAGGTGCAGCTTACAACCGCCTTCAACTGCTTCTTGCTTACACCTGGATGGCAAATGGTTACCTGGGAGTAGGACTTATCACCGGTTGCTTTTGGTACATCTGTTACCATTTTATTATCTTTTTACACTAGGCAAAGATGCCATTAGTGTCGCAGGTTTTTAATAATAATATTCTTGTGATATTTTTGACTTTATGTGGCTGCTTTTCCCCTCTCTTACTATGATATTATGCTATTGATTAAAATATAATAATTGAATTTAATTTATGTTGTATTAATTGTTTTGAATGGTTGCATGTGTAAGTTATCTTGAGCTGTTATAAAATAAGATATGTTGTACATATATTTTAAATGTATATAAATAAACAAGCCATCACTTCAGTGGTGTTCTAAGCATATTAACTAATCACCAGAATTTAAAGCATCTGGATGGAAAATTATTCTTTAAAAAACAAAACAAAATTTGTTTGCTAGAAATCTCAGAATTGAAAATGGCTCACCAAAAGGCTTGTCCCTACCCCACAGCCCCAGCCCTCATAATAACAAATGTTAAGTCTGAACTTGATTGATGGAGAAAAGTATTAACACAGAAACAATGATTGCATTCATGGTACTGTCTGTGGAGATTTTTAGTCATCCAGGTCATGGTTGTCCCAAAGATGCTTTTTCAAGAGGCAACTGGACTTTCTGGCTTGTCTCTGAAGACATTTCGCTTCTCATCCAAGAAGCTTCTTTGAATTACGCCGTCTTCGGTCTGACTTAAGCATGGTATATAAAATCATACATTGCAATGTCCTACCTGTCAATGAATACTTCAGCTTCAACCATAACAACACAAGAGCACACAATAGATACAAACTCAAAGTAAACCGCACCAAACTTGATTGCAGGAAATACGACTTCAGCAATAGAGTGGTCAATGTCTGGAATACTCTACCCGACTCTGTAGTTTCTTCCCCAAACCCCAAAAACTTTAACCTTAGACTGTCTACTATTGACCTCACCCCTTTCCTAAGAGGCCTGTAGGGGGCGTGCATAAGCGCACCAACGTGCCTACCGTCCCTGTCCTATTGTTTCTCTTATTCTTTTATTTTTCTTATATGTACCCATTTCATGTATTCACAACTATGTATACATTTATACTTATTATCTTGTAAACAATTGGCAAATCAAATAAATAAAATAAATATTCAAAATGATGGCAGGAGGGACAGAACCATTCCTGCATCTCATGACTCATATGCTACGCTAGCCTGAATGGGGGAGTAAACCTCTGAGTGGCCATATCATACTAAACCAATATATGTGGATATGTGTGTGTGTGTGTTTTAATCGTATTTTGTTAACTGTTTCTGAGCAAAGGGGAAAAAAGAGAGATAAACAAGAAAAAAAATCTAGAGTAACTAAATAGTTATTTTTCCAGCACGATAGATTTAGATTAATTTTTTCAATATTTCTTTAATTAGTTTTAAATGATTGAGTATTTAATAGGAAGGGTTAAGTATCCTTGTAGCAATTATCAAGTAAAAAAAACTTTGATATACTTAGTGGGAAAGTAAGATTTAGTAATATTTAATTAAAATAGCAAATTGAAAAAGAAATTTAAGTTTATGAATTGGTTCCATTCTATTATAAGTAATCATTGCAATTTTTCAGCTTGCCACCAAGTTATGGAAAAATGATCCAACCTGGTTGTTATTTTACCAACAAGTTTTAAAGAGTGAACTGTCCATTTTAGCAAACAATATCGGAGTGAAATATCAGCAGTAAAATACCATTTTTTTCTAAGTATGTTTGGTATGAATTTAATGTTTTTCTTCCATTGAAATTCCTCTTGAGACATGTTGAATATTATATGTAGGATCTTCATACATTTAATCACAGCCTCTTTAAATTGTTTGGTTTCTGAACATATTTCAACACATAAGGCCCAGCAAATGCTCTGAATTTGCGTTAAAGGGTTTTCAAATTCATTAAGAGTCTCCGCGTGTTCCCACTAATTTCTGAGATTCTTTCAAATGTTTTCTTGAGGTTCTTTTAAATCTATGTTTATTTGAAAAAGGAAAATGGTTGCATCATTCTGGCATTTTCAAAGAAAGTTTAAAAATGTTTTCTTCTTAATAATCAAATCTTGCAGTTTATACAATTTATTATCTCTCAACTGTTTGCTTCCTCTTTATTAAAATAAAATTTTAATAACTAGGTGAGAGATAAGTCATTCTTCTCCTGTATTCATCACAAAATTTTTAAACACTGTTTATGATTGCATGATCACTTTATAAGCCATTTATTTCTGTTTGTATCAGTCGAAAGATTTCTGTACAAACCATTTGGGATTTCTGTTCTTTCAATAAAGGTAACTCGGCCATAAGATGATAGGATGATATGATCCAATTTGTCATCCAAGTTAGACAGTAAAGTGGTTGGAGTTGCTGGACCATCATGTTCCTCCAAATTTAAAGTTAAATAGTTAACTTAAATTTATTAGTTCATCAAAAATTGTTACTTGTCTCTATCTATCATTTAATACTTCATTTTCAATATTTATTGGGAGCATTTGGACAGAAAATTAAACCTTGCCAGTATGTTCATTTTAATAACTATGATTTCTCTTAATTAATATTATTTTAATTTTCTCCATCTTAAATATATATCTACTGTCGTATTTTTGAAATTTTGTAAAAAAAAACACCTTATGTTTAAATAGGACTTTATTATCAACCTATGTGAGTTATGGTTCTAGAATACAGTGTTTAAACTGTAGATTCTATTTTATAAAGTTAATTAATTTTGGTTATTCAAGAAACCATTTTTAAGCAAATCAAGATTTAATTTGTTATATGAACATAGCAAAATTCTTCATCTGAACGATTACCGCTTATTGTTTGAGACATGCTTTTAACTTAGATCCTTATTTTTTCACATTAAAAACTTAACATCTTATTTAATCAACAGATTTTGTTTCATGTTATTAACTAATACTGTATAAAAGAACAAGATTAAGATTTCTCTCAAATCACTTAACTAGATACTTGAAGATGCAATGTACTTTCTATGCAACACTATAAAATGAAAGCTGTTCATTCCTCAGCTTGGTTCCCAATATACAAACAGATAGATTTCATTAGGCTGTTGTAAATTATAACTTAAGTCTAATTCCAAACTTTGTCCTCCAACCCTCAGATTTGCCAGCTTGGAAATTATGGGAAATGCATCTGGGTGAGTCTAAGGCTGAAACCTAGCTTAGATAATAGGCTTGACATGACTTGAATGGCATCCATTCTCACTCCCACTATGCAACCACCACAATTATTTCCCTTTTTCCCTGAACCAGTTCTAATGAAACCATCTGTGTTTTCATTTCCGTTGACTATGGTGATAGAAGCACAGTATGATGCTATTATCAGGATTCATATTCCAGCACATTTTATGAAAGCTGCCCATCCAACAGTGACATTGTTCTTTTCTACATTCACATTGCCTTGATGGAGGACATCAGAAGACTCTGAATGCAATGAAGTCCAACCAACATGTGAAATACAAGCGACCCAGGATTTAACGAGAGCGGTGATGTGATTTGGAAGATACAGCAATATGGGAAAATGTGTCATAATTTTCTCTGAATAGATGCAGTTTCCTCTTGCTCACTCAATATTCGGAGACAATATGAAAACCCACCTAGATTAATACTCTCCACACAAAGATAAGGAAACACCAACATTTTTATTATGAGGCAGAAAATATGTATTGAAATTTTCTCAAGGCATAGTACAATTTAATATAAAGTGACCAATGAGTCCCTCTGGAAGGAAGAAGCTGAGATGAAGGATGTGGAAACTTCAGAATGGAATGGATCTTCACTGGGAAAGGCCTGCAGCTATACGTAAATCTGTGCCTTGGCTGGTAAGGGAGTGAATACTGCTGTAGCAGGTAACGAAATTAAAGACCTACAAAAGAAGTAAATTTAGATGTACTGTAGGAATACAGCCAGCAATGACTATCAACACATGGCCTGTCACTTAAGTATATGTCTGGAATAAGACACCTCAGAGTGTGTTTATACCAAACAACAATCAGGGCCTTTGCTAAACAAAGGCAGGATTTGCACTTCACATTAAACTCTAATGTGGTTTAATTACCCTTAGTGTGAACCCATCACCATAATTTGTTGGCTTAGTATGTTGTGTGAAAAACGTCATTTGTGGCTTATTCAATAAATTATAATCGATATGATGTTTAAACAGAATCACAAAGTTGTTCTTTGTTAGCCAAGATGGTTGTCTCTTACCTTTTTTTTTATAGAACTTGTAGATGCCCAGAATAACACTGTAGGCCAAGCTTTTAGCACCTAGTAGGAGGAATATAAACTGCCCAGCATAAAGGCTGAGTTGAACCTCAGAGATACCTGAAGTTGATTCTGAAGAAAGAAAGAAAGAAGAAGTTGCTGTTGTAACAGAAGCTATCAGCATGCTTAAGGAGATATTTCAGGCTGATATTTTAATACCCTGCCTCCCCCATTCAGTTTGCAAAGCTTGCAACCCAAATGTTTTGAGTTGGACTTTTTTCATGTCATTCCACTGAATGCTAATCCTTTCAATAAAGAAGCAATAGGCCTTGGCCAGTCCTCTTGGATAGTTCATGCAAAAGTAGCAAATTGTTCATTTTAAAATGTGATTTATTACTGGTGCTTCTAGGGAAAATTGCAGGATTTTTGCCTCAGCCGTATACCAGAAGAATTTGACTGTTGGCGATTTCTCTCTCTCTCCCTCCCTCCTTCTCTCCCTCTGGGTGTGTATATGGCAGTAGAAGTGGTAGATATAATTTGCCATTTTGCCATAAGTAATTTGCCATTTTTCCAGCTCTGCTCAACCCTCTTTCTTGTAAAACTCTTGACTTTACATGGATGATCCAATAATAAACAGCCACGTGGTTGGGGGAAGCAGATGTGCTTGACCACTACGGTAGTAAATCAACTTACAAGGCCCAGAAAGTTTTCTCTTCCAGAAAGGAAGAAGCCACCTTCTGGCTATGTCTTCCTGATTGCAGAAGTCATCCTGCTTATTCATCCCCCTGCTGCTTGCTTAATTGCCCAGCATTTCCTTACCTGTCTTGTGGTCTGGACTGCCCTTCACCGAGTCACTCACCACCTGTCCTGTTTGGTTGACATGGCAGGAATAGCTGTGGCCTTTCTGCCACTCCTCTGCCAACACACTCATGCGGCTGGCAGTAGCGAAGTTGCATTCCCCTTCTTTCTTGATTGGCTCAGTAGCAGAGGAGAGTCGGCTAATGTTTTGGCCATCGCGCTCCCAGATCACATCCAGTGGCCACTCGTAGTGGAAGCCCTGGGCCAGGCACACAAGGGTGATACGCTTTTTGTGGCACAAAGGGCTCAGGAGAACGACGCTTGGTTGTGGCTGATCATTACACTTTGGATCTGCAGAGGAGAAGTACCCCTTATAAACCTTATAGTTGTGGTCACCACATTATAAAAAAGATGTTGAGACTCTAGAAAGAGTACAGAGAAGAGCAATCAGGATGATTAGGGGACTGGAGGCTAAAACATACAATGAACGGTTGCAGGAACTGGGCTTGGCTAGTCTGGTGAAGAAAAGGACCAGGGGAGACATGATAGCAGTCTTCCAATATTTGAGGGGCTGCCACAGGGAGGGAGGGGTCAAGCTATTTTCTAAAGCTCCTGTAGGCCAGACAAAGAATAATGGATGGAAACTGAACAAGGAGAGATTTAACCTGGAAATAAGGAGAAACTTTCTGACAGTGAGAACAAACAGCTTGCCCTTGGAAGTTGTGGGAGCGCCATCACTTGAGACCTTCAAGAAGAGATTGGTCTGCCATTTGTCAGAAATGGTGTAGGGTCTCCTGCTTGGGCAGGGGGTTGGACTAGATGACCTGCAAGGTCCCTTCCAACTCTGATTATCTGTTATCTGACTGAGCCAACCGTAACCTGTGATTAGAATTAAGACTCAGAAACGAAGCAGCCTGTCAAGAAAGAAAGGTTCCTTCTCAAATCTTCATGCCCCCCAAGAAAGGCTTGGAGTGGCAGCAGATATTCCAAGTTGAAGTCCCATAATCCTCTGGAAACGTACTGGCTGGAATTATATATATTGGTGGGCATGAAGTTGGAGAAGGCTGAACTTCGGTTTAATTATCTCACTTGCTACCACTTGGGTGGATGCTTTTACTAAGCAGATCAATGAATGCCAATGGTACCCTTGAATCATATTAATGAACAGGATGACTAGAACAAAATAAAGTCTCTGGTTTTAGCTCTGGTGTATTTTCAAAATTATGAATGGCAGCATCCATTTCCTTTGGCTGGGCTTGCTTTTAAGACTATTTGTACTAAAACATTCCTTAAGTGAACATTTCTCTAGATTAAAAAAAACAACAACTTTAAATTAAGATAAATAGGCCAAATGAATGCCAACAACAGTGAAATAAACTAGTGCAAGACCCAGTTGGGGTTCTCGTGATTTTAACTGTTGAATAGGAAGTGTGGTCTCTTGCTACTGCTTTGTTTTTAAATCTGCTTGGATGATCTAGTTTCTCTTAATTGGATAACCCTTTAACTGCACTGAGAGACAGATTGCAGTGACTAAAGACATAAGGTGAGAAATCAGAAGTGAGTTCTGGCACCAAGCCAGTTGGGTGACCTTGGGCCAGTTACTCTCTCTCAGCCCTTAGGAAGCAGGCAATGGAAAACCAGTCCCGAAAAACCTTGCCAAGAAAAATGGCAGGGTCTTGTATGGATGGTCACCAGGAGTTTTTTGTTTTTTTTAAATGACTGGAAAAGCATCCCACCATCTAAAAGCATTTAGTTCAATTAAATCAGCCTTCCCTAATAAGCAACCACATCCCATGTGCCTTGGACTACAGCTCCCAACAGCCTGAGCCTTATGGAAAGTGTAGTCTAATTAATTAGGGGCTCCAACCTTGGCCACTTTAAGACTTGTGGACTATCAACTCCCAGAATTCCTCAGCCAGCATTCGCTGGCTGAGGAATCCTGGGAGTTGAAGTCCACAAGTCGCAAAGTGGCCAAGGTTGGAGATCCCCTGGTCTCATATTATCTGAATAGCAACTGGTTGGGAAAAGCGGCCTTAAATCTGCCCGAAGGAATGCGAGCTGCCTCCGAGTTTGAGTCTAAAGCAGAACAGCTTGAAAGGCTCCAGCGGACGGTCCACTTCCAGACCAGATCTCAGCGACCAGCTGGTCAAACCTGCCTGCCCCCCCCCCCCCCGCGCTCTTTCCAGCTCCACTGGCGGATCAGCCTTTCCCAAGCAAGGCTCTTAAGTTCTCAGAAAGCTGCGAAAAACGGTTTGGGGAACTCAGGCTACCTGAGTCTGTCGCAGGAGGGTTGCCTCTCCTTGCCCAGCTACGGATACAGTTTTGCCCTTCGCCCAAATTGACCGATCCGGGACGTAGCTGACATCTCCCCTCCTCGGCCCGCTGCACCGGCCAAGGCAAGCGAACCAGCCCTTCTGATGCCTGAACTGCGGAGGAGAGGGAGTGGGGGGGCTCGCTCCGGCTTCTCCTCCGCTGCTCCTCCAACCCACCCACCCTCACCATCCCCGCGCTGTGATGAATCCTCCAGGCATTTCGTGCCGGGACGGAGCCAAGCGGGTGTTTTTGGCGCTCCCTTCGCCCGTCTAACGAAAGGCGAGTGCGGCCTCCCTGGCAAAGACGAGCAAACGCGTCCCCACTACCCAGGCGGCAATGAAAGCCTTTCCCAGCCCCGGGGATCTTTTCGATAAACAAGGGTTGGAAGGGACCCTGCAAGGCCATCCAGTCCAACCCCCCGCCCAAGAAGGGAGACACCCCCCCCACACACACACACATCGTCTCTGACAGAGGGCAGTCCAATCTCTTCTGGAAAGCCTCCGGGGTTCGTGTGCATTTCTCTAGTTGGATACTATAGAAATGATGGTCCCTGACCCTCTGCCACTCCCCGCCTCGGAACAACCCCACCTCGCTCCCTGGCAAGCCATCGGGGTAACGACCGGGGGAATTGAGACAGAAGAAGGCGAAGGGGAGCGCGTTTGGACTCACCTGTGACCAGGAGCTGCGTCCCTGTAGTAGCGAAGTAAGCTTGCTCACACAGCGCTGCAATCTTCCCGGGCGCCTTTGCAAAATCTCCCCGGCTCCTTCCGAGCCTTTGGAGGCCGGCCTTTCCGTTCCCCTTCGCCCGCGGGGCTTCCCAAGTCCAGACGAGCCGGCTTTACTGACCGTTCCGTCCAAAAGGAGGCAAGGGTATGAGCTCCGCTCGGCCAAGGACGTTGCAAATGCTCAGTCCGGCGAGAGGGCGGCCGGCAAAGCGGGAGCCCTGGCTTCTCATTCGGCAGCCTGCCAAAGGACCCTGCGCCCCAAACGCCTGTTCGGTTCCCTCCGACTTCTTCTCCCGGGACCGGACCTGGGATCCGAACCCTATTCCGCGGCTCTTGGCAGTCCCCATCCGAGTTACTCGCCTGGCCAGAGTATCAGACGCGCCTTATACCACCGTGCCCCGTATTGTACACAGACAGACAAGGCGCAGCAAAAACTTCCGTTCACTTTTTGTGCGCAGCCCCGAGCATCCAAATTGCATCCACAGCGTTCATTCATGCTCCCTCCTCCGACGCCGGACGGGCTCTGGATATTAGGCATTTCAGAGGCCGACTCGCTGGGCCTGGAGCTGGGGGTGGGGAGTGTCCTCCAATCCGGGTGGCGGGCGGCGGCAAGCCTTAAGCGGTTCAAGTGGTTTTCATTTCTCCTATGCATTCCTCAGCTTGAAACCACCGGTTTCCTTTCAGAAATGGTGTAGGGTCTCCAGCTTGGGCGTGGGGTTGGACTAGATGACCTACAAGATCCCTTCCAACTCTTAATCTGTAAGTAAGTAAGTAATTGCAATGCCCCCCCCCCAACTTCTGGGGTTGGGGATTAGGGATTGGGATTGGTCAGATGCCCAGAGGATGCTGAACAAAAGGTGTTGTACTGTATCTGTGATTTTTCCCCCCTTCAACCTTTGCTGTAACCTCCACCCAAGCCTTCCAGGAATCCCGCCCCCCAAAGAAAACGTGGTAGTGCTGGGCAGGGCTTTGAGGTGAAAGGCCCACTGTGCTGTCCAGACAGTTTAGAGTTAATGGGATTTGGGATAGTTAGTTAGGAATTGTGAGGTGTCCCCTTAAGGGAATGCATCATGGTAAATGTAGTTAAGGCATCCTGGGAAATGTAGTCCATATCATGTGGTCACATCTGTAATCCGGATTGGTCACTAAATTGACCCTTGTTGGGTTGGGGGAGGCTCCGTCACTCTTGCCTGAACACAGCCTCGTGGTAGCAGCTCTACCCTCTGCCTCTACGATATGGGATGAAAGAGATAACCATCTTTCTACACCACAATTCAGATATGCAAAGGATTGGACATTAAGAAGAACCTCGTCATAAATGTGAGTTGATAAGGATGCCTGATGAACCAATAAAAAAAGACTTTGTATGGATGCTTTGTGGAGTTGATTTGTCTGCTTTATGCCATCCAGACATTAATAAGCAGAACACCCACCAAGTGGACATGCTGGGGGTAGCACAGGATGGGCTTTACCTATGGAAGAATCCAAGGCCAGCCTCAGTCTCAGAGAGTCACGGCATGCCTCCTGCCCTCCTAACAACAGCACCCACCCACCCCGGCCCACAAGCTCAAAAGCAGCACATTAGGATGGATAATGAGATCGTGCCGATGATGCTGGTAGCAGTTTGAAACTCGTAATTGCTGAAATATTGAATCATACTGAACATCAGAATCGTAGGATAGAAGAACAAGGATCCTCTCATCCAGTTCCCTGCTTAACCCCTTACTTCAGTATCCCTAGCAAATAGTTTTCCAAATGTTAGGTACATCACATCTGAAAACCTGTCAGTTCAATAGCTGAGAACAGCTCTTAACTATCTGGACATTCTTCCTGATATTCAACCTAATTTGACTTGTAATTAAAATTTCTTCTCTTTTGTCCTGTCTTCTGAAATAACTTTGAATAATTCTGCCCTGTCTTCAACACAACAGTCTTTCAGATGCTTGTAGACAACTACCATGTCTCATCCCTGTCTTCTCTCTAGACAAACATTGTCACCAAGTCTTATTTATGGGTTTCTTTTTCTGCCTATCATTTTGGTTGCCCTCCTCTGGAGATTCCCCAGTTTTTCAGTGTCCTTTTGAAAACAGGGTGACAAATTTTCTAGGTATAGACAGGCCAACAAACAATAAAGAGATGCCAGACTAATCTTATTTTATTCTTTGACAAAGTGACTAAATTAGAAGACCAGCAAAATGCTGTGGACATAGTAGGGTAATACTGGTAGTATAATTAGACTTACTGTATGTAAGACATTCAACAAAGTAGAACATAACCTACTTCTTGGTAAGCTAGAAAAAATGTGGGATAGACAGCATCACCATCAGATGGATTTGTAACTGGCTGACAAACCATACTCAACAAGTAGTCCTTAATGGCATTACCTCTACATGGAAGGAAGTCAACAGTGGGACACACTACGAGATTCCATTTTAGGCCCAGTACTCTTCATAAATGAATTAGATGAGGGAATAGAAGGGGAACTCATCAAATTTGCAGACAAAACTAAGCTGTCAGGAATAGCCAACACCGCAGAAGACAAACTCGGGATCCAAAAAGATCTTGACAGACCTTAACAACAGGCCCTATTCAACAAATGAAATTGAATGTGGAGAAAAGCAAGGTTTTTCACCTAGGCTGGAAAAACCAAAAGTACAAGTACAGATTAGGCAAAACCTGACTCAAAAACAATAACTTTGAGAGGGACCTTGGATCATCACTTAAACATGAGCCAGTAGTGTGTGGTAACAGCCAAAAAAGCTAATACAATCCTTGGTTGTATAATCAGGGGCAAAGAATCAAAATCATGTAAAGTATTAGTACCACTTTAGAAAGTCTTAATAAGGCCACACCTGGTGTCCTGCATCCAGTTTTGGTCACCACATTACAAAAAAGATGTTGAGACTTTGGGAAAAGTGCAAACAAGAACAACTAAGATGATTAAAGACTTGGAGACAAAAACATGTGAACGGTTGCAGGAATGTGACTAATCTAGAGAAAAGCAAGACTAGGGATGACATGATAGCAGTATTCCAGTATCTGAGGGGCTGCCACAAAGAAGGGGTCTATAATGATTCTTAAACCACTCATCCATTTTACTATTCACTGAAATAATATGCAGTTGTACTTTCAGTGCCTTAATTATAGGAAGTTCAAAATCTCATGTACTCCCTTTGACTTAAAGATTTTTTATCCATGAGACGCTGATTGTTGTACAGTACTTCTTAAAAGGGCTTTTCTGAAAATTTAGAAGTGCATATCTAAGTACGCTGCATTTTCTTTTTTGTAGATAAAACTATTTTATTTTGACAGCTGAGCAAAGCTCCATTTCCTGTGGTAAAGCTATAAATGATTTAAAATGTGCAATATGCCAACATCTCTTTTTAAAGAATTAGCAAACTTTGTTTTTGCTTGTGTGCAAAAGCAGTTATGAGTTTCAATATACATAACCATTTAAAGACAACCCGTCTCCTTAAAAGATTATTTACTTCAGAGTTTAAAACAACTCACTTTGCATCACTGAGTCCCAATAAACTCTATTTCTGCTCAAACTGTTCTGCCCCTTAGTAAAATATTCTACTAAGTTTTAAGATCATTAAATTGCAGTTTTACATACGCCCATTCACCATAGCTTCTAACACTAATATGGAAGATTTGTGCCATTCCTTATTCTCTCCCTTAATACCTAGATGTATTTTTAAAAGATACTTGTACTTCTTTTTGAATAAATTTCCACACCCCCATTAGCTTTGCTCTTATAATTTTATCAGCAATGATCTCCGTTATTGTATTTTTCATCAATACTCTACTAAACAGCCTTGGCAAGCCAGGATTCCCCATGAACACAAGCCTTGTCCCTAGTGACCATTCTATGATTCAAATTATGCCAGTCCTGTCTGTATAGTGCAAAACTGGCTTATCACCAGTTGGATGTCCATTGGATGTCCATTTAATTGATCCCCCCCCCAACCAGTGTCGATGCATCATAGCTAGATAATGGCAGAGAGAAGCTTTAATTGGGAGATGGAAAATGCATATCATAGAATGTCTGTGAGCCAATCAGTTCCCATAAAATCTCTCCCACCAACATTAGTACTGAGGACAATACATTCCATTAGACAGCTCAAATTTGGCGAGGCCTTATGTATATTGTTAAGCCAAGGTTTACACTTAACATTTTACTTACTTGCTTCACTTAAACTTTACCATGGCACAATCAGGCCAATCTTTCCCCTTGTTAATTTGACATTGATCTCATCTCATTCCCAGTCCATGAGTAAACCATCCTTACGTGCTTAATATAGATGTTGGTTTTGAAGTAGTGACTCTTTCCTATACTATTTTCCTATTTTTATCAGTTTTATCACTTCCCCTTTCCCTATAAATTGAGAAAGTCAATTATCCAGTATTAATCAGTTTCATTCTTCACCTGTGCAGGGAGTAGCTAGTAGAAAAATCATGTCCCACCCCCCTCTAGAGTTATTTTTGACCTGGGTGTCTTCCTATATATTCCTTTATTCCACCCCACTTTTTTTAAACTTGGGAGATGCAAAAATATGGCACAGGTATGCAAAGAAGGCTTGACCATGGAAGTCAATCCTTCTCTACAGGCTCCTGATTGCTGTTTTCCTACATTGGTTGGTGATGTACTGAAGGGGAGAAGAAAAAGAGGAAAACCAATTGCTTCTAATGAGTGGTTCACCCACAAACCAGGACAACACCACTTGGCAATGATTCAAACAAAAGGAAAGAAGACAGGATAAGGGCTCAACATAACAGGCAGTAGGCTCAAGTATCAATTCTACGTTGGCATTGTTAATGCCAAATCAAGAATGGGGTGATTGTGTTTTAACTAGCAGTTAGAAAAGAACTTGTGTTATGCTAAGGATCCAAATCTATATATAATCAGAAGATGGTGCCACTGTCATCCGTGTGTATGTGTACACTCAAAGTGGGGAAAAGGAAAAAAAAAAGCCACAAAGCATACACCTCTTAAGTACTAAATAAAACTAAGAATATAGTAATATCACATCATAAATTAAATTATTGATAATATCAACAATATAAAAGAAAAGCTTATAAACTCATATATGTGATCCAATTTCTAAATAGTCCTCCAAGCTGGACTCCTGGTGATAAAATCTATGTTCAAATATAGAACAAGAGATGAGTTCTTTAGACCATTGTATAATTGATGGCAAATGGATGTTCTTCCAGCTTTATAGTATCCTTTTTTTGTGACCATAAAAGCAGACAATATTTATTTCCATTATCTTCCTGTTAGTTTCCAAACCATTGATATATAATTCAAAGGAATGTAAGCCTCTATAAAAAGAATGAGTCTTTGAGAACAGAATTAATACGTAAAACAATTTCTATGCAGAAAGAATCCTTGTAGCACTTGGTGACATCTGGCGTGAACCAGTGTTGCCTTTTAAGCATAACATCTCCACTAGTGGGTTGAAACTATCAATTTCTTTTTTAAAAAAGTGATAGGTAGCCACCTGAGAAATAATTGTGTTGTTGATGTTGAATTAA